ACTGCCCCAGAAAGACCTGGTCTACAACTGGGGGGGGGGCTCTCCTGGACTCGTGACTCCTGTTTGAGGAAAAGGTGGCAGTTGCAGCTAGGAGAGCCTTTGCACAACTTCATGTTATGTGACAGTTCTGCCCTTTCTTGGACCAGGATTCCCTATGCTCAGTCGTTCAGTCCCTAGCCATCTCACAACAGGACTATTGTAAAGCATTCTATATGAAGCTACTCTTGAAAAGCATTTAGAAGCTACATCTGGTGCAGAATGTGGCAGAGTAGATAGTTTTCAGGGTCCTCAAGAATGGCCTCTGTGACCCACTGCTCTGGGAGCTGCATTGGTTATGAATCTGCTTCCAAGTGCAATTCAAGGTGTTGATGATCACCTTCAAAGGGATTGGCCCATACCATCCTCAGGCTGCAGGAACCATCAGCCTGAGGATTCTGGCTGGCAGGATCCAGGAGGAGGGCTTTTCTGATGTTCCTTCTGCCCTCTGGAACATCTTGCCTGTTGGCTTGGGGCTCCAGTGGGGGGATCACATGATGGAGGTGGTTCATTGATCCCCCTACCCCACACCACTCCCCTCCCCTCTCCCCATGTGTCTTTGGTAATAAGGTTTGAATTTAATATTTTATGTTTTAATTAAGATGTAACTATAAGCTGCCCAGAATTACTCTATGCTAAGATGGGTGGCCAATAAATTTTATAAATACATTTTATAAATACATTTTATAAATACATTTTATAAATACATTAATTAATTAATTTGAACAATTGCAAAAAAAATTGTAAGTTGAGAACTGCTTGTATTTGTAACTCTAGCGATAGAGATGAATATTGTACATTTACAATTACAAATATACTTGTAATTGCTGTTAAGAAGATAGGAAGAGCCTTTTTTCTAATCTTCCTTTTTTTTCCTTTCTTTTTTTCTCATGTCTGCTTCATGATGATAAGATCCAAATTATATTACACAAATATTAGATCATTGTTTATAGCTACAAAACAGAAGATATCTTCTGAAGAAGAGCTATTCTCTTCAGGAAATAGTTCTTGGCTTCCAGTTCTGGATCGCAGCACCTTTGGACTTAAGGAGAGAGTTCCCTCCTCGCTGTCTGGTTTCTGGAAAGGGTCAAAAGTCGCCCTGCAGGGGCGACTACCGCTGAGGAGGACCCTCGCCTGAGCGTGGAAGGGTGGCAGCCCTCCCGCTTGAGCTGAGCCAGCTCCTTTGGATCGACAGAAGAAAGATTGGCCATCAACATGGCCGATCATCTAGCTGCACCAGCCGAAAGCCAAAAGCACTTCTAAGCTCAACGAAGCACCATAGAAGATCTGGGTGAGACCCTTCCTTATCTCTCTCTTTACCCTAACTAACTTCCTGTGAAAGCTCCTTGAAACGTTTTCCCCGCTCTCAATTCAGCGGCGTTTGCATACTTAGGAATTTAAGCTTTGAAAAGAAAAGAAAAGAATAACTAACTTTAATAACTAGATAACTGGGGTCCCAAAACTTCTTATTATAGAGACTTATCATTTACCTAAACTATTAATTTTGGAAAATATCTTTTTTTCTGCTTTTTTAACTGAAAAATAAAAAAGCTAATTGGTGTTTGGGGAAAGATTTTGTGGTATGCTGGGGACATCCTGTGGCGAAACGTGGCATAGCAACTGGATTTCTTTTTTCTTTTTTTGTTTTTCAATTGTGCCTGTTGACTCCCTTGATTTGTCCTTCATATTATCCAAAAGATAAGAATTGGAGGGGACTTCCGGTGGCAGGCGATTTCGCTGGTCGCAGCTGTTTGCTGCCTCCCGCCTGTTTTGCGTAAAAGCCGGTTTGACAGCCAGCATCAGCTGTCAAACGGCTTGATACCTTTCCCCTGGGCATAAGGGGATCGGTGAGCTGCCCGGGGTAGGAGTTGAGTTCCCGAGTCGTCCTATATGGACGATGTAGGCGAGA